TTTTTTCTATTTTTGTTTCTTTGTACAGAGGTTAACAGTATCTGAACTGAAGATAAGCTTTCCAAGGAGGAAGGGAGAGAATGTAAGGATATGAGCAAAAAAAATTGCAGCTCGGAAAGAGAAGACCAAACTTTTAGGAACCACAGCTCCTCATTTGAAAATGAAACCAGATTATCATTTGACCAAATACTCAGTTTTTTTAAGGAGGCGATACTTCTCAAGGGCTCCATTAGCAACACCAATGGATCACTTATGATATGATCGCTGAGCATGAGATGGCAATTATAAGTGGTCCCCACTTCTCGATATCTTCCGAGAGAGATCAGATTGGGGCAATTTGTAATAGATAATTTCTGAAGTGAAGAAAAGATTTCCCAGGAGGAAGGTAGAGAATGTAAAGATTTGAGCTGACCAAATTCCAGCTCACAAAGAGAAGACCTAACTTTCAGAACAAAGCATAGGAACGATATGAATAGATAGTATCTGAACTGAAGATAAGCCTCCTTGGCATCCTTCACATTTTCAAGGCCGTTGATTCCTAATTTGCTAAGATCATTCAAATACTTCAACTCATCAATTCTAAAGCTCACCTCAATTCTAAGATCAAACCAATACAATTCTAGAAGATAGTTTAGCTTCCCAATCCCATATATCGATGAAATATAATTCCCAGAAAACTCAAGGTAACGCAAATTAGAAGGTTTATTAATGTCACTTGGTAAAAAATCATCAACTGTAAGTCGTGTTGGCATCCAATTATCATATTTTATGTATTGCAAGTGATAGAGATTACTTAGAGATCTTGGTAGCCTAGTGGCTTCAACTCTTTCAATCTTCAAATATCGATGACGTTTCAAATATTTAATCTCCTCAGGTATCATTTCCAATTCATTAGTAAATAAGTATAATAACAAGCATCTCGATGCTTTAAATATTTCAATAAGTGCACTGCAAAGATCCTGATTAGAATTTCCATAGAACAATAAAAGAGAATGCAAATGTTTAAACTTCTCAATCTTTTTTAAGATGTCTGGATTTTTAGTTAGAACAAACAAATGTCGAATAGTCTCAAAAATTTTGAGAGATGACTCTTCATCATAAAGCTTTTTTTTTACTAAAACATCAAAATACCTTCTTCCAATATCCTCCGAAACCATTCTTTGAGATGGCTGAATGAAACCCAATGCAATCCACATTCAGACTAAATCATCTTTATCAAACGCATGATTTTGTGAGAAAATATAGCAAAATGCAAAACAATTTTGTAGATGATTTGGCAGAACTATATAGCCCAGTCTTAAGATGGAATTGATAGAATTCTGGTTCAATAAATTGCTTTCTAGAACAGTCCTCCAATGCCTTTCATCCAAGTTATCCTTCAGAACACCACCAATGACTTTAAGCTGTTAATGGAGATCCTAAAATCTTTTTAACTATCTCTCCAGCAATGGTTCTTAATTTTTTATGATCATTAGGGGGGTTCTCTACACCAGCAAATGCATGAGAGTTGAGGAGCTGCAAACACTCATCTTCCTCTAGGCCCTCTAATTTGACTACCTCCCACTTAATTAAATTTGCAAACATCAGTGCAACTGAATCCATTCGAGTTGTTACCATAATCTTACTACCAAAACCACCAGAAGCTATAGGGGCCAGCACATCATCCCATTTTCTTTTATCCTTCTCCTCATCCTCCTCCCAAATATCATCCTGCATAAGTAAGAACTTTTTGGACATCACCTCCTCCTTGAGACCCCCTTGAAGTGCCCCAAGTGTCTCAAAACGAGGCCTCTCCTTCTTAAGACATTCCAGCATATGTGCAATGACTTTTTTCACATCAAAGTTGTTGGAAACACAAACCCAGATTTTACGATCTAATTCCTGTGTCATTTAATCTTCATAAACATGTTGCAAGGAGTTGTCTTCCCCATACCACCATGGCCCACTATAGA